AAAAAAAAAAAAAAAAAGGAGTAGGAACCGAAAACAAAATAGCATAGAAGATGTTAAACAGAACAAAACAAAAGGTGAAGCAATGAATAAAGACACACTGAAGCTAGACAGGGATGCAACAAGAAAAAGAGAAGAGGAAGAGCCCCAAGCCCCAAGCCCCAAGCCCCAAGGCCTGTGGACAATGGTGGTTACAGACCAATGGGTTGAATCCAGTCTAAGACAGCTGATCAACCTTCCCAGTTAGGATGCCTTCAATAGTATCCCTTCCTTTCTCTGCCTTTCCCTGCATCAAGGACTTCACCACCTCTTCCCAAAGCCTCCTCCACTGCTGCATTCCCTCATAATCAGAAGCCTTTGGAGGAATGAGCTCATTTCCCTTCATCCTCTTGGGTTCCACCTCTACAGCCCAGGCTACCACCTGCCCTCTCCCACCAAGAAGCACTTCTCCCTTTCTGGGGTGAGAAGGGAAGGGACAGTGCTAGGATAAGGGTCTCACCACTCCTGCAGGGTTCGGGCAATGGCACTGAGGTCCTGGCGCTGGATGTCCCGCCCGATGCTGTAGTCAACCTCCAGCCGTTGATTGCGCTGGTCCAGGGACCCACGAAGCACATCGGCGTACACAGCTTCAATCACAAGGTCTTCTAGCTGCCTCACATTACGCAGAGCAAGGGCCTCCAGCAACACTGCATAGGGGATGCACTGGACCCAGGGAAGTCAAGCCAGGATGTGTGACATTCCTCAGCAAAGAGGGGTTTCCAAAACTACTCTTCCCTTCTTTTCCATCCCTGTCCAAGTCTTATCTACTCTCCATTCCTATTCCTAAATCATTCCTCTAAAAGGCTGGTTCTAAGGCAAAAGAAATAAAAGTATCCCCACTTCATAAAAATATCATAAGATAATCTTAAAAAATATGTAAGACTTAATTATGCTTCCCTATCACCCTTCCCACACTCACCCCCTACACCACAAAGGGAGAGAGTAACATCTGCCTGGTGTCATCCTTTGGCCACAGCTTAGGACGTCACATGGCCTTTGGTTGGGATCAACTTGCCATAAGGGTAATATGCAGTAATGGGTGATATCTAGAGTACTGTTTATCATTTATAGTTCACCTACTTCCAACAGGCACTCCTTTTGAGGCATCTCACAACAGAGAGCCTGATGCAAGTAAAATTATGAGGGCTGGCCACAGTGGCTCACACCTATAATCCCAGCACTTTGGGAGGCCAAGATGGGCAGACTACTTGAGCTCAGGAGTTCGAGACTAGCTTGAGCAAGAGCAACACCCCATCTCTAAAAATAGTTGGGCGTTGTGGTGGGTGTCTGTAGTCCCAGCTCCTTTGAGGCTGAGACAGAGAATCCCTTGAGCCCAGGAGTTTGAAGTTGTTGTGAGTGATGATGCCACAGCACTCTACTGAAGGCAACATAGTGAGACTCTGCCTCAAAAAAAGAAAATATAAAATATAATATAATAAAATTATGAGATGGAGTGAGAGGCAAATAACAACTGGAAGACTGCAGATTGGGCAGTAAGGGGCAAGACACTGAACAAAAAACTGAGCCTAATGTGAATACAGAGATACATATTTCCTGTTTCTGACAAACAGAAACCTAGCACTTCATCAGTAGAGAGTCCCATTCCCAGCTCTGAGCCTTTGTTCATGAGGACTTGACATATTGGGGAGTAACATGTGCACAGCCTCTATCCTAGTTACAATTTTGGGCAAAACCACAAAAGATGTTTATTTAGAACTTACGTTGATTGAAAAGTAAAAACAAATCAGATAACTAAGAATAGGCTTAATGGCTGCCTATGAAGTAGTTTAGAAACAGACCTTGGAGGAACAAAGAGAGAGAGAACCATGTGATCAAGGGCTGTCCCAGTACAAACTCCCAGGCACATAAAAAAGGATGCTCTAGACCTCCCTGGAGTAGGACTGGGGCAAATGTAACTTACCTTTACTTTGGCAGCCAGGGTGACTACTGATAGATGTCGAAGCTTATTCTTCTGAGCCTCTGTGAGCGGGGGAAGATTTCGGGCTTCAGCTAGGGAAAAAGGAAAAAGTGTAGCAAATCCTGATTTCAGCTTTTTGGAAAGCCCTAGCTTCCTCTTCCCCCGCATTTTGTTATGATTCAAGTCTTAACCCTGACCCTGTGCACCAAGGAGATCGAAAAGGGGTATCTCAGGAATTTTTTCTAAGTCTCTCTAGAAATTCCCCTTTTCCCATCCCTGTTACTCCAGAGCTCCAGCCCCTCTAGTTACCTAAGTAGTCGGCATATGTCCCGTAAGCAAACACTGTGAGCAGCCGGAATGTGGACGCGAAGTCGCTCTCAGCCAGCTGCAAGAATATGAGGGAAAAGAGGAGGTGACAGGAAGCTGTCCCTCCCCATCCTCCTAGGTCTACCCCATTTTGAAATCCCATTTTCTGGCCAGTCCCCATTTTTCCCAGCCAGTATTATCTCTCCCAGTTGACCAAAAGTTCTCTGCCTCTTTGATCACTTCCACATAGAAAAGGCTCATTTTCACCTCTAGGCCTTTGCTTTCACTTTTCTCCCAATCCACAGTGCCCTACTGTACCACAAGCTATCCAATTCCTATGCTAAATTTGGGGATGAAAACATTCAGTGTTCAGAGCCTAACACACACGCTAGGTGCCTGTAGCCAGTGGTTACGGAGCTGGACACGTGCACCCAGGGTGGTGGGTTCGAACCCAGCTCAGGGCAGCTAAACAACGATAACTGCAACAAAAAAGAAAATAGCTGGGCATTGTGGCAAGCACCTGTAGCCCCAACTACGTGGGAGGCTGAAGCAAAGAACTGCTTAAGCCCAAGAGTTGGAGGATGCTGTGAGCTGTGA